AACCTGGCCAAAATATGCGTAATCTGCAATTTCGATTTTTGATGGATTACGTAAGCGTTCACTTTTAGGGGTGGAAATTTCAATATTACGGATTTCGCTGAGGGAATGATCCTGGAGTTGAATGGTGTATAACAAGCATCGAAAGGTGAGGTATCCTCACTCACAGAAGTCCCAGTGCCCCTTCAGGGTGACCTTACTCCAGAAATAGTGCTGTATGAGGGCGTATTATATGATTCTAGATCTCCACAAGTCAGCTCATATGCCCTCAAGCTTACCTGACACTCTGAGTATCAAGAACTGTGTAACGAGAATGGGACCTGACATAGGGGTAGTAGACCCATTATGGGTTAACTGCATTAGGGTTAGGGCGTATTACTAATTACAGCCATCAATGCATATCTATATATGGTAACTCCGACGCAACTCCGCTTCAAATTCACTTTTCAGGTATGTCAAATTTTTTAATATTGGAATTTCGAGAAAGTAATCAGATAGCCTGAAAGCTACGGGCAATCCGAGTCGATTGGCGCTGTTTTCAGGCCCATTGGAGTCTTTGCCCGGGACGAGATACCATCACGCGTTCGGCTATGCCCGAGGCGTCGGTTTTGAGCGACCGACACTGTAGCACTGACATCCCAGGATCTTCACTTACACCCACAATGCATAGGGATGCCAAGACCAGAATCATACGGCATGACTCGCTGAGCGCCGAAATATCAGCTTCCGGACCCGGACATAGATGACTACTCGCGTTCACAAGCAATGCAAGGCTCTAAATAGTCATAAAAGTCGCAGGTTGCGAGGCACCAAAGATCGCAGTGCTTCTTCCAGCGTTGATTCCGGGCGGTTCAAGGGCTCGCGCGCTTGTTTAAACCTTACTGAGCGGGAATATTAGAGTTCGAAGTTGAGCTGTTCCATCTCGAGTGTTGGTGACTTATAACGTTCCTGTCGATTTGGAGGCGGAGCCTTTCGTATGTGTGCCTTGCAGTGCTGCCTTTGCTACAGAGCTCTAAATTTGATTGCGACGACGCGATTGAGACCAGGAGTGGCAACGAGCCAATCTCATCAAAAGCGCGGAGGTATATCTGATCAATGTCAACAACTCGACAAGGCACGTAGGGTTACGGAATTGGAACATGAGACTCAACTTCTTTGAACGCCGGGCTTTTCCCTGCAGAGTCAAAATACATATAACACCTTGGGCCGGACAACATATGGGCGTTCAACATCCCCCACTCTCTCCCGCGCCTCTAACGATTGCTGTTGACGCCATACAACCAGTGCAGCATCATGATACCGCGGCACTTCATACCTGGCATCGCCTTCCTCGCTGCCGCCTTCGTGCTCAGTTTCCTGACGTCCATCTCCCTCCCGTACCTCACTGCGCTGGACATCACTAGGGTGCATTTTGGGGATGGATTGAAGATCCCGAACTCGCCTATACCGCTGATAAACCAGTTACGCGTGAGTGGTACCGGGGATTCTGTATATAAGATATTTACGGTGATATCGTAGTTTGGAATATGGTATGTCATATCTAACTTCAGAAGAAAAATAGGCATTTAAGACGTCTCGATAGGGCGTTCTGTGAGTACGATGCGAGCAACGGGAACCGTAAATGCAGCCCGGAAGGTGGGCAAGCCATCGTTGGAGGGGGCGTTATCGCTGATGGTTGTGCACCACAGGTCATGGGTACTCGGTCCCTTTCGGGGTCATCGACGCTAAAGGGAACCTCAATGAGATCACCATCGGGTCCTCCTGGACCCGTGGACTGGCTGTCCATCCAGTCGGTGAGCATCGTTGGTGCCCTTCCTGGGATAAGTAATGAACATTGCTTGTGTACTAGCTACGGTCGTCACTTTCATCGCGCTGGCCCTGTCGTTCTCCAGCCACGTCACTGCCACCCTCCTTGCATCCATCGTATCTTTCTTTGCGGCACTTCTCACGCTCATAGCATTCGCGATTGATATTGCGCTGTACGCGTATGTTCACCACGAGCTGAGCAAATTTAACGGGGTGAACGTCAACACCGGCCCTGGTACGCTAAGCGTTCCCTTTTGTATTTGTCGGCTCCCAGTCTTACATCATGCATGTTCTAGGGTTCTGGCTCACGTTTGTGTCCCTCGTCCTTCTGCTCCTCGCGGGGTGCACTGTATGTTTCGGGAGGCGTCGAGACTCTGATAACTGGACCTACGGTGGGAACGAATTTCCGCTCAAGCGGCTCTGGCCTTTCAACAAGAGTTAAGCGAGGTCCAAAATGGAGACGCAATGTCAGACGCTTATACCCGCTGCCAAATTCCGACGTCAGCATGTCAATATCGATATTTCGACCGACTTGTCGGTATCCAAGAAATCAACGGTCCCTTCCCGTCCTCCCCTCTCCATCCCGTCTCTTATACTTGTCGCGGACTTTGAAGTGCGCTCCGTATGTACCGTGTCCTGTCCATTCCGCATCGTACGCCTAAAGATACACTGGCACTTTTGTTATGACGCCACACCATCTTAACGCCCCAGCAGCCAATCGCAATTTAGCTGGTAAAGGTACACAGCATTACGTAGGTGCATCGTGACAGGAATCCATGCTTCTTTGAACACCGGGCTTTGCCATGCGCGACACGAATATAATCTCGGGCCAGGTCTGAATCGTGTTTCACGCCTGCCGTCCGTCCACCATCCACCATGGTCTCCCGCGCGTTCTGCATCCCCGGCATCGTATTCCTGCTCGCCGCCTTTGTGCTGAGCTTTTTGACGTCGATTTCGCTGCCGTACCTCCCGGCGCTCGACATCGCGACGGTCCATTTTGGAAATGGGCAAAACTCACAGATACCGAATACAAATGTGCCGGTTATAAAGGAGTTACGGGTGAGTTTAACGGCTAGGTTACTAGATGGGTTTGATATCTGATGTGAATGCATTGGCTTTCTGTGATCAGTTTGGAATATGGTATGTAATTTGTGATAGGAGGTTGTCCGCTTGATGGACATGTCAATAGGGCGTACTGTGAGTACGCGGCCAACGATGGGCATCGGACATGCAGTCCAGAAGGTATGCAAATCTTTTCCGGGAGGGGAGTGTCATACTTACGCCATGCCCTGTAGGCCATGGATATCAGGTCCAAGTTGGTGATGCTACCAACAACGACACAGTCACCATCGGTTCCTCCTGGACTCGCGGACTAGCTGTCCACCCAGTTGGTGAGTACGATGATATATCACGCAGTGGCACTCATAAACGCATCTCGTCGACCAGCGACCGCCGTCACCTTCATCGCCCTCCTCCTTTCGTTCTCGACGCACGTCACCGTCACGCTCCTTGCATCCATCGTCTCTTTCCTGGCCGCCCTTCTCACTCTCATAGCCTTTGCCATTGACATCGCGCTCTACGCCTACGTGCACCACGAGATGGGCAAGCTCAGTGGATCAGTCAATACCGACACCGCGCCTGGTCAGTGCCCTTCCGCGTGTCAAAGATCTCCACCACTCACGTACACTTTTCTCAGGCTTCTGGCTTACATTCGTCTCCCTCATCCTGCTCCTACTGGCAGGCTGCACGGTATGCTTCGGCAGGCGCCGCGAGCGCATGTCGGGGTCGAGCTACGGCAACAGCTACCCCATGTCCACCAAAAGACGGTTCTGGCCTTTCAACAGGAGCTAAATGCTTGTGAAATCTGCACTCTGTTTATACCCCCTTGGAGCTGGCCGTCGAGTTTCCCGATACTGATCCTGTATTTATGGACTGCCTTCTTGGTATACTAATAACTTTATCTGTGTTCCTGTTTGCTCACTGTTCCTGGAATGCTCTACGGTTTTGCGATGTTGTCCGTACTATGCATGCTACCAGCGCTCGACGAGAATATTGTGCAGAGTATCGCTCCTAACTCGGAGGTCTCCTTTAATACATCCCTGAAGTTTCATGCCACAATACTAACACTGCCAAACAACACGATCACGTACTTCTGTCCAACACGTGGAGTTTTGCCACACATCCTCTGAAGGCAGAAGAATGTCGCGCTCTAATAACTGCTTCCTGTGTCACAACTGGCGTCCTGCCCGGCGGTCTCATCCACCTTTGCGAACTAAAATCCGTCGGACTAACGACACATTGCTTACCCTGTGACGTCCACGCCTTTACCAGGCGTTTCATTGTGCATCACCTCCCACACACGGCGCGGTCACGACGATGTCGCAGGACTTACGATACGTGAACGCCTTGAAGGCATGTTTACCGACTGGATTTGCGCCTGAACTGGCAGACTCTACAACAGCGCCAGAGACTCTAGCGCTCATTGACCGCTTGCTCTGCTTCGCCAGTGGCGGGGAATGTCCGGACGATGTTCCGGAGCAGGTGCGGCAAGAATGGGACGCGAAGCAAGCGGAACTGGAGACTGCAATGCGGAGGCTGGTAGAGGATAAGGCGGACGGGAAGAGGAAGAGGGATGAAGACCCTATTGCAGCAAGTACAAGTGCTAAACGAGTGAAGGTGTCTGAATCCGGGACCGAGTCCCCCGCCCCTGCGGACCACGATAGGGACGACGCGCCCCTGCACACTCTACACGCCATCTCGGTGTCGTCGCCCGTGCGCAAGAAGGTGGACGTCATCGTGCACGAGCGAAGCCTAAAGTTTGTCCATCCCTCCACGACTGTGTCGATTCCGCGCTCCTCGATAAAACACGCGTTCCTCCTCCCCACGCGCGGCAAGGCGAAGCCGCACTGGACGGTCGTCCTCCTCACTGACGCTGCCGCCTCTTCAAGGGCGCAACAGAAAGGCAAGGCCCCGGAGACCACGCAGATCATATTCGGGCTGGAGGCCGCCGCGCCCTCCGCGCTCATGACCACTACCTATCCTACCCCCGGCACGCCATCAAAAGAGACGCACCCAAAGAATACGCCCACGCTCCCGCTGCTCCGGACGTTCTTCAACAAGCTCGGGGTGCAGCCGCACGAGCCGTCCACGAGCGTGTTCAGGAGCACCCTGCCGGACATGATGAGCCCCGGCGAGGCGGGGAGCCCGTCGCTCACGGCGTACATGGGCGCGAAGCCGGGGTCGCTGTACTTCTTCGAGACGGGCCTGCTGTGGGGCGAGACGAAGCCGTACCACTGGTGGCCTCTCGAGGACCTGGCGCCGATGGAGGAGGACGAGGGCAGCTTGCGAGGGGGAGTGAGGGTGGTGTGGGCGGGCGGGCGGCTGTGCACCATCGTGCTCAGTAGAAAGGGCGATGAGGAGGGCGTGCAGGAGCTGGATGAGGGGGAGGAGACGCACTTGGGCATGGTGGATGCGAAGGAGAAGGGCGAGGTGGAGGAGTGGGTGAGGAGGCATAAGAGGTGGTTCGGGAAGGGGAAGGGCGGCAGTGGCGCTGCCCAGGCTGGGAAGGTGAAGGAGGTCGCGATGAATGGGGAGGATGGGGAAGAGATGGGGGATAGTGACGACGAGGAAGACGAGGACTTTGAGGGGGATAGCGACTCTGACGGAGGTTCTCCCACGGAAGATTCTGAGGAAGAGGGTGACGTTGGAGGGGAGGAGGACGCAGCTGGTTCAGACGCAAGTGGCGGAGAGGAAGATGGGGAAGGGGACGAAGATGATGAGGAAGGTGATTTGAACCCAGCAAGACATCCCTTAATGCGGCCTGGTGCGGTGCCCAAGATGTCCAAGGGTGTCATGGACATGGTCGTAGGTGTGGTAGAGCAGGAATTCCTAGGCCCAGGCAATGACCTGGGCAGTGAGGAAGAGGATGAACTGGACGATTGAGGGAATCGATCCAGTTGTTTAATATGTACACTATCTAGGAGGAAAATACATCTAAGTTCTACCCACGCCTGAAGACGCTCAGATCCACGGAAAGGTTCACAATGTGATACTCCAGAAACTTGCTAGTGTACTGCGACACGTCTTCCCGTCATGTACCTGTAGCAATTGGAAAGAAGCTCCGAGATCTCCTTTTGAGATTCCCAGAGAGGCAACAGGACGCAAAATACGCCGCTTGATATAGCCCATATGCTGAAAAGTTCATGAGTAATAGGGTAAGATATGCGTGAGGATTGATGCTGACAATGTGCATGCCACCCAGAAGGTGTAAAACTTCGGACTGAAGACATAGTGAGAGAAGAACATCGGGAGGGGTACTAATGGGTACGGTGAGTGTAGTCGAAACAATGAACAGTGCCCGACATACCAAGGATAGTGACGATGAACGTCAACACCGACGAGTACAACGCCGCTTTCTTGAAAACCTTCATCAGCACTTCCCTGCTGAGGTCGTCCTTCTGATCAGTAGAAGCTGCGCTGGAAGCGACCGGCTGCACGGTAGCCACGTCCATGTCAGCCTTCTCCATATCTTTCTCTTCGTCGATACTAGTCTCTTTGGGGCGTGATTCTTCGTCCGCACCTCGCGGTTCCTCGGGCGGCACGCCATCCAGCATGGCAATGTTTCGGGTACCAGAGAAGTCGTAGTCCGCAGGGTCTAATCATACAATTCATAAGCCACGATGCCTCACTCATAATATTCGAGAACTTACTCAGTAGCGAGACCCCCACAGTAATTAGACCGGAGAACAACAGTCCCGTCAAGCCACTACATACGGCGGAGTATGGCATGGCCAGGTTGGTGATCGTGATCGAGCCTGGACGAGCGTGTCAGTACCCGCACGTGCGCACGGAGAGTAGTTTCTGAGGTACCATAGATTTTTAGGCAGCCGACCATCCACGCCGCCATCCCCAGGCAGGCTCCTATGATGGAGCCACAGAAGACGCCCGTTTTGGTGAGTTTACTCCATGTAACGGTAAGAGCAATCGGGATCACGGCCGGGCTTAGCACGACACCCCTGAAACGCGTTGGTGAGCATGTTAGATCCGGTCTAGCATACTGCAGAGCTCACTGGACGTAGAAAAGCTAGAGGAATGGTTGTCAGTACACTGGAATAAGTAGACCCGGTCCTGTCAACACTTACCCAACCGAGATCAATCCCAGCCTTGTTCAACTATGAGCTCGGTGTTAGCCAAATTCAGATGGATAGATAGAAAGTGTCCCATACGATTGTCGCCCAGCATCCCATCCAAATGGCCCAGAAGCAAATGAACATGTGGGACACACGGACGATCTCAGCACCGGAGGCATTAGGACGCCAATAGGTGCGGTAGATACTATAATATCGTGAGCATCAGCGCCTCCGTATCTTACTCAGAGATAGACAGATGTGACTTACTCGTAGGAGCTAAAGTATTGCGAGTGCCGGATTAGTATGACGACCACAACACGACTGCTGTCCACTCACAATAGACTGGATACCGCTATCAATTCAGAGCTTGCAGCAGACGTCACCGCCATGCTATGCGACGGAATAGTCAGTCTTGCGATCGCCAGTTCATCTCGGAGCCGAGGAACACTCACAAGACGACCAGCAAAATCGCCACAGCACCTCCCTTCCCCATGAGGACAACTGCAGCTGCGGGTGCAGCCAATCCAGCGCTGGACTGTGCAGCTGACAACGGGTTAGGGTATGTCGGGAACGCAGGCTGTCAGGCAGTCAGCAGCAGTCCCTCGATGGCAATGCAGGAGGTGCTACGCACGTTACTTTGCAGGGCCCTAGCGGCAAGACCCAGGCAAGAGGCAAAGCCCCATGGGATGGCGAACCATGAAAGGCCGCCGAGCATGTAGGCTTTGGTTGTCGACGCTGGATGCGACGCTATCGCCTACGAAAAGATGCTCGTTGTCAGACTCAGCGAGTGGCGAGGAGAACCGGATACGAACTCTTTGCCAGTATCCTGCGAATTGTAGAGTAAGAATATATACTAGTCAAGGTTGATGTCGGACGCGGCGAACCTTGGTCGCAGAACACTCCGGAGAAGCCGCTCAGGATGGTCGCAGCGCCGAAAACCAAGCCCTGGTTGCTCTTCATGGTCAGGTAGCTCCCCGCTTCGTTCCCCACCACTGGCGTCTGGGACGCGGCAGCGCTCAACAGCTGATACATGTTTGTGGGGGGAGACGTGAGGTCCGACGTGGTGCTATTCAGCATCTGAATCAGACGTATGTACCATGCGAAGGGAGACAGGTACGTACTAAGTGCGGAAGAGGAAGGTGAATATGATGACGAAGAGCACGACCGTGTGCACCCAGTCGCACACGAAAGTCGCGCGGAGCCCGCCGAAGACGACGTAGACAGCGATGCCGATCGGGAGGAGGAAGCATGCTGCGATGATGGGCATCCCGGTGATTGCATTCACGGTTGCTGCGCCTCCGACTGTATATGGCAGAGTGTATATGGTCAGAATGGTCAGAAACGATCAGATACGAAGCCGAAGTAAATGCTTACGGAGCAATGACCCGCAAACGACGAGAATACAGAGGAAACCGTAAAATGTAAATAGAATATGTGCTGGGGCACCAAACCGCGCCTTCACGATCTGCACGCGAAGTAAGCCATCCGATGAATGTATTCACCGGCGCAGACCTACCTCGAGGAACGTATGCGCGCCATTCGCGTTCATCTTCACTTTCGCGGCGACCATGCCAAAGAATGCGACCTGAATAGTTCCGCCAACGCCGTACCACCACGGACCGCTCACACCTTTGGAACACCTTCCGGTTTACGTGGGCTCTCAAAGAATTGATATGTGCACGCACCAAAGGTGTAGGCAGCAGTACTCGACTGCAAGAGCGTGGCACTCCATGTCCATGCACTTACACTGGGAGGAGTCAGTGTCCTCGTTCAGCATCAAGCCAATTACAGGTTCTCTCACATTCCACAGCACACGAGCCCCGGCTATGCATCATAGTGAGCAAGGTCCCAATCGGTACCGGCGTACAAGCACAAGCCTACCTTCACACTTCTTGAGGCGGTCTAAGCGAGGAAGAAGCCGTATTATGAGGATGGTGAGGACCCACATTGTATGAGATGAAACGTACCGTGAACTCCTCCGATAACCCGGGGGAGAATTTAGAGAACTTAGCTTGAATGGTCGTCAAGAACAGCATCAAGGCTGCGAAGAGGAATCCGATGCCTGTTAAGCAGGTGCATCCTAAGTTCGGTATACACGCAGCCGTTCTTTCGATTTCCACTCACCGACGACCACACCATATCCGACGCTCTGACCTGATAGTAAGGAGCGACAATCAGTACCCCACTCCCGAAGCGTTCGGCATGCGACATAGAACACCACGCACTAAGCAGAGGTCGGAACTCGGAGATGCCTGGTAGTACATCCGTGCTATTAGACATGGTTCTCGTCTCTCAGCGGTCGTCAGCGCAAGCCACCGGTCGTAAAGCGAGAGTCGAGCGGGCGACCTCAGCGGTCCTCTCCACCGACCCCGCCTTTTGAGCAGACGTCAATGAGAGATAACATTGAGATAACCTTAACGAGTCCTTAGCCGAGAAGTCTTAGCTTTCGTTATTCTTGCACCTTATCTCCAGCGCTGTGATAACAAGCCCATCGCGGAATGACGTTCCGCCAGAAAATATACAGGCCAATAGAGATAGCTTACGCTGGAGTTGGAGCGTCCCCTGCCGTTAGTGTGCGGGGTATCAGGAACAGTACCGTCAAAATTCCGGAGTGAGGAAGATAAGGGCTCTAGCCTCTTTCTTCGTCTTTTCGGACACGATAGGACAAGGGTCACTATTCAGACGAATGTCGCTGTACCTGAATCTGGGTCAGCTTTGAGGAGCTAGCTTATGCACTGGAAGATGCAACGGGAGGCAGTTGATATTTGCATTAAGTAGAAAGAGAGTCGATTGAGAGGCATGAGCGGAAGCGGAGCTGTGGACGCGTTCCGGTTGCGTTACGGTCACATGTCCCTTTTCGCGTGGTTTCCACGTGAGAAGATCTCAGATCGACTGTGGCAGCGCATACCTGGCCCTGGTTTGTGGCTTGCTCGTGCCGTCGAGCACTCGGCTGCATCCTTTGTATGTTTAAAGTGTACGGTATAGGACACGTTTACCTTTGCTAGAGCGTACCGTCAGTTGGAGTAGGCGTTATAGTTGAAGTACCAGTATCACCCAGTGATAACAACTGCGGCACTACCTTCACTAGGCCTAGGGGCATAACTATTGCGGTACCTCGACGGGTAAACTGTGTGAAACTTAGAACGGTAGATACTCCAACTTGTCCAAGTCCTGTACAGGTCGACCCTGCCAAACGTTTTATCTAAGTGCCTAGTTCTATCTGACTACGCTGACCTCGGCCTAACTCGCACAAACGCTCTCAATTAACTCTCCATTCTTGATCCTTTTGTAGGCGATGGCAAGAGTACCATGCTTAGAGTAGGCACGCTTATACAGTCTGTTCTCCATAGTAGTATCGAACCTGCTCAGAGTAACGGACATGCGGGAACACACCCCGCCTCGCAACCCCGTCATACGAGGGGAGGGGCGCGCGATATACGTCGTTTACGACTTCATCACCCATTGATGCCCGCGAATTCAACGCGAGAACCTCCTTGCCGCTGAAGTGTGTGGTGGGGCCTCGCAGCGACCTGAAGCTGCATACCGTCAAGGCTCCGGTCACCGGTGTTGGAGCGCGAGCCTTACCCGCGGAACGAGCTCGGAGGAAACGACAAGCGTGACTGCAGTGTGGAAGGTGCATTGGCCATCTCCCGAAAGGGCGGAGCGGAGGGGCTCATCTCATGCAACTCGCAGAATGGACCTTCGCCAAGCAAAAGTGGCAATGTACGCCCAGCACAAGCTATGCGGACAATGCGCACCGAACTGCGACCGTCCTTCCTGGCTTTAATGAGAAAATCTATGACGAGGTTCCAGGAAGCTCGCCAGCTGTCCCGGTATCCGCTTGACGGGCCGCGTCTCAGCGTAAAAAAGGGGTACGCACTTCGTATGAAGTTGTTCGTCCCGTTTATCAGCGAGCCTCCGTGCTTCCTTGTTTCCTCATACCTGTAGGAAAGTGTACGAAGTGGAACGTACCTAGCGCGTCGCTCCAACTCTCCCTGCCCCTTCTACGGATAGCCCAGCCCACCTTTAGCTACTCGAGTGCGTCTTGACGCGTGTCAACAATATTTCCTAGCTACACCGGACTTCACACACTCGCCGAGTGAGTGGAGTTCGGTGTGCATAACGCCACCCCACGTGATGAAGTGAACGCGGTGCGATGTGGAAGGAAGGGGCCCGGTCTTCAATCCTATCACCGGTGGGTGGGTGAGCTACTACCCCTTCTCCTCCATGTCTGTAGTTGCAGCACTGGCTTACCCCGACCTCTATGTGCACCGCCAACGGGTCGTGATTTGATAAATTGTTTGATGGGGAACCACTCGACGATGCTGTCCCGCGCCTCCGTATAGACGTACCTAGCCCGCTATTGTCCATCTGTGCGAGACGGGCATACTTATGACCGTTGGGCATCAAGGACAGGAATCAGAGGACTGCGAATTCGCCAGTGTTCACTGATCAAGTATTGAACTTGATAGCCTTGACATTGAGTGATTGACATGCGGCATGATCGGTTGCACATTTATCAACACTTTTATACCGTATTTTGGGGGCGGATTCCCTTGGATCGGGCTGTTGCCTGCTGGGAAGCCTTATAGCGCCGCAGATTGCGGTCCCAGCTCGACAGATCGGTGAACACACTGAAGGCATTGTGACGGGCGATCAGATTCTTATGATCAGCAGATTGTATGGATGTCTTACCAGAATCAATCGTCGCATTGCTTCAGCGGCCTTATTTCCAGCCATCGTTGAATGTCGGTGACCGGGTGCTTGACCAGTGTCAGCCACGCATAGTCACTTTCCCGACGACGCTGCTCCTGCAGCTCACGAGACCCCGATTACAGATAATGTTGACTCATCCCGGACCGCTTCAGCGTTCAAAGTATGCTTCACACGGTCATCCCATCCCGCACAGAGTTCGATGGCAACAAACCAGAGGTTGCTATCGCAGTGCGTCCGATTGGCGCAAACGGCGAGAAACCCCTTCCGTCGGGTCTGATATACGCATGAGGATCCTGACTCGTCATCAAACCTGCAGTTTCGCAGTGCTGAAGTCGAGCAACATGCAAACGACGACGAGCAGCCCAGAACAGTCATCCTGCAACCGTTTGTCGGGCGTTGCAATACGGCAACTTGAATGGTGAAAGCAGAAATGCCGCTCGAGGATCGTCGGACACGCGAGATGGATCAACGGCGAAATGTGGGAGGAGCCAATCACGCCTCGCGCAGACGGTGCCTGGCGACCGGCAGCGCGCCGGCACGGTTGCCTGAAGCGGCACCGAACCCATTTACGGCCGGCGGGTGCCTCCGAAAGAACCTGCTCGGAGGACGGGATGGCGCTTGCGAGGCGAGGACTTCGTCGTGGAGCATCATGGAAGGGCTGCCGATACGCCTAAAGAAATGCTGTTTTGTGCTGCAGGCCACCTTGAGTCGCAGGCCGACTGCCACAAAGTGAATGTTCCATGCATCCGTCGTCGTTGGGAGTCGTCAGGACGGTCGTCAATTACTCATTGAGACCGGAGACCACATGCATGCGCGAAGGTCTGATGGTGTGGCCGGATCAAGGGCGACCGGCCGGCAGGTACAAGTCGTGGTTATAAGGTAGAGAGGCAGCCCGAAGAACGCACTTCCCATTTTTCGTCCCTTTCCACTGCGTTGCCCAGCCTAGTTCTGCGGTCGTCGCCTAGCGCGCCCTCCAGAGGTCTTTCACGAACGCCGACCTGGTGTCGCTTTAATTCTTTCTTTATTCAAAGCTCTCAAAGCACACCGTTCCTTCACTTTCGACTTCGCTCTCCGATACTCCGTCGCAATGTTCTCAAAGGCTCTTTCTTACGCTCTCCTCTCCCTCACTATCGCCGGCTATGCTGCTGCTGCCCCGCACAACAACGCAAAGGCTGACACCTGCGGTACCGCGGTATGTGTTCCTTCTCTGAATTTGACAGAGATCGACACGCTTATCTGGGTTATTTTAGGTGAGCACTGTGACGATGACCGCTACTGTAACCGCCTCCGCAGTTACATCGACGCCTTCGGTGAACAACGCAGGTGGGTATCCTCGGAACCGCGGGCATTCCCGACAGCACTAATCTATTTTGGCTTAGCCACCAGCAAAGGCTCGGGCTCGAAGAGTTCGGGCAGCAAATCATCAGGCTCAAAGTCGTCGGGTTCCACGTCCTCAGGCTCCAAATCATCGTCGGGGTCCAAGGGTAGCTCTGGTTCCAAGACCTCGTCGTCCTCGGCAGCTGCATCCGTGCGTTCATTACCGTCGGCATCCATATATCGGACTTGCACTGACTTGCCGGGCTATAGAGCTCGACTTCGACAGCCTCCTCAGGTAATAATGCTGCGTCTAGCAAGGGCTCAACCGGCAACAACGCCGCCACCGGCACTGGCTCTACCGGCAACAATGCCGCAGCTGATGCGCTCCAGTCATCATTGAGTGAGTCCGACCCGACTAAAGAGCGCATGCAAGGACCACATCCTGACGTTGCTTAGCTCTCGACAAGTCTGTGATTGCCACGGGCTTCCAGAATGACGGCCAGTCCCAGCCCGCCGCGGGCCAAGTCGCCTCCAAGACCTCCTCCAACAACTTCATCAACTTCTGCGCGACGGTGCCGCAGCTCCCTATCACCAACGGGCAGCAAATAACGACCGGCTCATGCAACCCCGCGCCGATGGGCATCATCGCATCCACGTCCAACATGCCCTCCTCGAAATTCGTCTTCCCGCAGAACTTCGGCACGATCAAGGCGAACACGGCGTTCACCGTGCAGATGGCGATCAAGAACCTCGAGACGGGCTTCTTCGTGAACGCGCAGGAGAACTACTTCGCTGCGCCCCAGTTCACGAACGCGCAGGGCCAGGTGCAGGGCCACTCGCACGTCGTCATCGAGCAGCTCGACAGCCTCACCCAGACGACGCCGACGGACCCGACCAAGTTCGCGTTCTTCAAGGGGTTGAATGGTAAGGCGCAGAACGGCATCCTCACGGCGGACGTGACGAACGGGCTCCCGGCTGGTGTGTACAAGATCTCGTCCATCAACTCGGCGGCGAACCACCAGCCGGTCCTCGTCGCCGTCGCGCAGCACGGATCCCTCGATGACGCGGTATACGTGCGTCCCTCCTCTGTGTACTCTCCTATGTTCGAAGCTTATGGGTTCATATGCAGTTCACGGTGACGGACGACGGTAACGCTGCAGCGGGTTCCAACACCACAGCTGGCAAGGGCGCAGCTGCCTCGAGCTCGGCAGCCGGCAAGGGCAACAACGCCGCAGCCACTTCTTCCGCCGCCGCCACGTCCTCCGCCGCCGCGTCCACCGCGACCGGCGCCGCCTCGGGTCTCGGGAACTTCGGCACCTGCAGCGTCCCCCAGATCAAGTTCGCCGCCGGCCTCGACGGCAGACGGGAGACCGCCTTCCAGGCAGTTGACCAGAGTAAGCCTTTCGTTTCCTCTTGTCCCTCCCCCCAGTGGCTGATCCACTGTACTTGCGCACCGCAGAGTCGTTCAACCACGGATCCGCGGACAACATCCAGGTGATCACCTCCTTCATCTGCGGCCAGATCCAGAGCGCGTGCAAGGGCGACGCGACCGCCGCCGCGACGTGCCAGAAGGCGCAGGCGGCCGCGCTCGCAGCCACCCCAGCCAAGTCCGGCGCGCAGGCCGATGCCTTTAACAACGTCTTCGGCATCACCACCAACTTCGCCGCAGTCAAGGTCGTCGCATGAGGGGCCGGTTGATGTTTGAGATTAAGTTATGGTTTCGTTTTTTCGAGTCTGGATACCCGTATACCAGCAGTGGAAGGGGGGAGAGAGAGTCTCTGAGTATATTAGAGAGCAGAGCAAAGTCGTTTCTATCCGCTTTGATTTCCTTTGTCTAACTGTTTTGCGTTCTTCCTCTTGGTTTTCTTTTCGCGGCTTGGTTGTACCGTACCGTAGTAGTACTGCGGGATACATACACTAGATGTGTTGTATTCCGTACACGAACGAATGTTATGGCAACGCAGAATTGTGGATAGAATGGATGAGTGCAAGAGTTCAGTCGACATGGGTGGATCCTGAAATATCACCTACGGCGGTCTTGCGCATCGACAGTCTATAGAACATATAGCATAATTTTCCAAGACAGCGCGCGAGATCTACGGATGATGATAGCCATTGATACCACAGGAGAAGCGTACAAGCGATAAAGACATAAATACATACTTACGATACATACCGCAAAAATTACTGGAGCCCGAGGCGCATGAAGAGGATGGAAAGGATATAAAGGTCCAATCATTGGGAGTGCCCATACTTGCCAGCCAACGATCTACTTGGAGCCCGAAGCCTTGGCCTCCCCCGCCTGTCTGGTCTTCAGCCAAGTCCCGAGACTGACTGCGGCAGCGCCAGCAGCCTGAGCGGCATGGGAAGCCAAGAGAGCACCAGCAGCACCAGTGGTGATGGCCGGGATGGCAGGGATGCTCCCTGCGATAATGAGGATAGCGGAGACTGCGCTCATAGCTTTCGGGTGGCCTTGGCTGAGCGTCTCGAGCACGTCGCAGGCGAGGAATAGCCACAAGGGGGCTTGGACGAGGGCTTCGGTGACTGTCAAGAAGAATCATAAGTTTCAAGACGGGCAGATCATAGATTGGACTGCGTACGTTTGCTGGCGACCTCAGGCTCCTCTTGCGCAACTCGCCAGAAAGGGATAAAGCGGGATTTCTGAATGGTCGTTGGCTCCTTGGTGATCTTCGTGTCACTAGGCTGCCCCCAAGGGAGGAAAGAAGAGTTGCTCCGACTGGGTGGTATTTTCGAATCCTTGGCGTTTGTCTTCGTATTGTCAGGCTGAGCCCATGGAAATAAGGACGACTGGGTTGGAGCGGGCGCTCCGTGATCCTTGGATACCGTCTTCGCGTCGCCGGCCTGAGTCCAAGAGAGGAACGAGGACTGGCTCCGAACAGGTGCTTTGGGCTTGGTAGTGGATGCTTTGGGCACGTCCGACTGGGACTTGGACCTTGCGTGTGCCACTTTAGAAGGGGGAGCCGGCTCCTCGCTCTTCTTGCCGATCACCCACCATCCGCCTGAGGGTTTGTGCTCCACAGTAAGCGTAGCCTTCGGGTCGATATCCCCTGAGTCAAATGTCAACCGCGTCCAGGATGCGTCTCGCGGACTACCTACATCCGACACTGCACATCAGCAGCTTGAACTTCTTCCACGTCCACCGGTAGCTCTCCCCGTTCATTTCGTAGAGTACTTTCTTGACAGCATTGAACCTCTTCTTTGCCTTCTTGCCCATGAAATGCTCCGCGACCTCATGCCAGTATTCTTCAGGGACTTGCCTCTGGACGCAGCCGGCCTTGACCTGCTCGAGCCACACCGCAACGGGAGGATCTTTCTTGCGGTTCCCGCTGAACTTCGGACCGTCGGTCCAAGTGGCGAGGACCGGTTCCAAGTCGAAAGGGGTTATCTTGAACATGTCCAGAAACATCGACATGATGAGAGTCAATTCGAGTTTCTACCTGAGACTGGAGTGGGCTTGGTGGTAAGAGTGAGAGACGACAGTCTGCTCGACGTGCAGCCTTTTACAGTAATTAGCCGAGCATAGCCGAAAACAACCCAAAGCCCAAGTGTGGCAACAGAAGCCTTTGTTGAGGTCGCGATCCTGCCACAAAGAACCCTGAAACGTGATTATCTGATCAGCTATTACGGAAGATAAGATGCGCCTGCGTAGCACGAGGCTCACGACGATACCTGGTGATGCTCACATTTTTATTGACACACTGCCTTCAGAAACGTCGATACGTTGCTCACTCTGATATACTTACGCTCAATCATACTGAATAGTTGGCTGGTATATCTTGGACCAGATATACTCTAATTTCTAAGACTGAAGTGTGGAAAGCGCGGAAAGGGACATTGCCTCGGAAAGACCCGAGACGCGACTGGAAAGCGTGACAGTCACCTGATCGTGTTTGTACACGCGTATAGGGGCTTTCGCAATGGATGCTATCGATTCCAGGCTCCTCCTCCAGTCGTCGAGCGCGATGGTCGGTGAGAGCACAGTATGAACATCTACATCGTAGGGAGATTTCAGCGACTCGAAATCCCCCGCGAATCACATTGGGGGAAGAGCCTCGAATTCCGGAATGGCATGTGCCAGTGGCACGTAGAAGTCCTGTAGGAAATCAGCGCAAAAGTAAATGGTCATTGGCGCGGTCTATAACTATATTTACATTGCCATAATCAGCATCCATATCTCTGTAAAATACTAGCCGCTGTATCGTTACCGAAATCAGTCCATACAAAGCGAGGTCCATAAAAGGGAAATGCAGGCGCGCGGAAGTTCGCAACCTGAGTAAGCAAAGAAGCCCTTTTGTACTGCATTCGACCCTTGATGGGGAACGCTAACGCTCTAGAAGCTGCAAAAACATACACACGGTATGAACATATAAGCGAAGGTTCAACATTCAACGTTCAACTTCAACCTCTACCACCACTGTGCCCCTTACCGAGCCACATCTCACAAACTCTTTGGCGCGTCTTATGTCTCCCCAAAAAAACACCACATCTTCGGCCATCCGCCGCTCGAAGGCCAAAGTCGCCGCGAAGAAAGCGAAGAAGGAAGTCGTGACACACCTGCGACCACAAAGTCCAGGAAATACAAAGGTACGTCCCTCACGTCGGGCATTAAATTTACTAGATCTTAGCCATCGTCGGCAGATAGGAATCAATCCGCTCCGCTTTGTAGAATGGGGTGATGCCCCGGACCTCTTTGAGCTCGCGTCATTGGTGATGGACGAGCGCATTCCGCTGGTAAGTAGCTTGTGGAGAATTGACTATATTCTAGAACGTGACACCTATCACTATACAGGAATACTGGCTGATAGTCGAACCGCCGGCCCCCGAGGAAAGGGGAAGGAAGAGAGAGAAGGAAGAGATGAGCGGTAGTTCCTCTTCGTCGGTCTCCTCAACCGATAAAAAGAAAGTACCGAGCACCCCTCCCACTCGCCGGGAGAAAAACACAGTTCCGTTCCCGGTGGGTAGGCGGCTTGAACGGATTGAAGGTAATTAAATTCTATAAAGACGTGATACCTTCTTTGACCGGTTCGATCGCCAGAGGAGGAATAATCTCATGTCGCTGTTGAATCTCGTAGGATTATCGTGAGGAAAGATATGCTGGTAGAGGAGAGGAGATGCAGTGGTCCGGAATGTACTTACAATGATAATAGTTGATACATGCGCGACCGACGTTATCTGCGGACGGCCGTGATCCGTCGGTGCGAAGAGACGCCTGCAGTGGCACCCTCACCTCCGCCGCTATGAGAAATCGCTTCACTCGAACGAAGGCGAAGTATCGCTCCCCTTCGAAAGCGCCATCTACACAGGATGAAGAGTTTCGACCCATCTCATCGATCTTGATCGCCGTCAGCAACAGCCACATACTGTGAAGCAGCACACGAGGTTTGGCGCCGTACACTGGCATAGATGGCGTCCGGAGTGGCATAGACGTCGAGCTCTCTGACTCGAGGCGCAGGAAGTATGATTCGTAGCCGTTGCATTCCACGGTCTTCTCTTGAGCCTCGAAGAGGACTTTAGAAGAACCTGCGACAAGTCAACCCACGAAGAATACGGCAGAAAGCAACCAACTTGATCCATGTCTTCAACTTGCTGACCCGGGTAATTCAGCGTCGTACATCACCGGGGACGACTTGTTATGGTGGAAGGTAAGTAGCAGTCCCGAATATCATGAGCCCATCCAACGAAGGCGGGGATGAACCTGAGTCGACCGGAGTAACTGAAATGAGTCGTGGCACGGGCCATTTGGCCAACGCGACGAGAAAGCCGAGGTGGCCACAAAGTCACGGTGCTCCCTAGTCTCATGGACATCACCGGAAGGCGTTCCAGGTTGAAGAATATTGGTAGCAGGTACATGTCTGTGCAGGTCGGTTCCTCCGTCTGACAGGCGTCCCGTACCGACACCCCTAATATCTCGACTGTGCTCTGGCAGTGTGACGAGATGGGTTTACTGACATCTGAATATGTGCGAGCACACGCGGAGAAACAAGTTCATTGTTGGCATATGGGTCGATGAGGACTAGGGACTTGACTACAGGGCGAACACCGAGACCAGATATCTTGGATGTGCAAAGAGGTGGACGGGCAATCGATTTGTAATCAGGACATGCATGCTCTGCGTTCCGAAAGCCCAACACCGCGGATCTCCTTCGTGGTTCGTAAACGCTCGCTTTGAGTGACATATCTGTCTTGGTGACTTGATTTTCCTCCAGAAGGTGGGACGACGCGAAGGAGGAACGTAGCCACTGATATCCTTGATTTTGGGGCGCGATTCCACTGAAGATATCCGGCGGAAAACCACAGCCGTCCCCTGGCAAAACAAGCAATCCAAGTCTCAGGCTGAGGGGAGCCAGTCGATTTTGAGGGCTGCGCGGGTAGCTGCACGAGAGGCAACACTAAGTAACAAGGCGCGGCATACACGTTCCCGATTCGGGAGAAATATTACTGTCAAGGTGGCAGTGCCAGTGCTTCACCTTCGGGAAAGTACATAGAATCCTGAATTCGACGTCCACGAGAATGTCTCTGCATGCACAGAAAAATGGGCACGAATCATTATTCTGGCACCATCTATCTAGAGGGCACGGGCGGGGAACCACGACAGTTATTTTGACTCCAGAATGCCCACGAGGACTTTCTACCGGACGCCGTGGCCACTGGCACTGAACTGGGTCCACTGCCTATCTAATGTCCCCTGGCGCATGCTTGGATCCAGTTATGGGGCTTAGGATCCGATACACATACTCTGTTCGGGTCTGGTAACCTGTGGGGGCTCTGCGTGGAGCGCTGGGTCCGTAGTATCATGGTCACATCTCTCAAGACACCCACGGTTAACTACAGTACACGACAGTCCTTCAGGTCGTATTGCTCTGAATATGTTTCAAACTGCGAGTTGAGATCTTGCTCAAGCCATGAAGACTAAGTATGCAAACCTAGATCCTGCGCTCGCATTCCTGTCCTGTTCGCCTCGAATCCATGCACGTTCCACTTTCCTCTGATCACGTCAGGTCTAAAGATGTCCAGGTTACTATTATACACACGGAAATGTCATACCTCTGCACATCTGTATCAGATGAGTTCTCATTTCAGTTAGGCTGATACAGGTCATATACCAGCGCAGCTCTGCTGACCATGCATCCTCCCTCTCAGCTCACCTATAAGCCTTGAACGCTCAGCCTGCAAGCGAGATTTTGACGCCATGCCCGAGGAATACACTATCCTAGAGAACTTTAGTCCTCTCATTGCCTACACGCCGTCGGCCGCTTGGGCCTATGGCGGTTCGGGTGATGTTGACGGAGATGGTGACTATGCAAGGCGAGCGCCATATGCCTAACGAGCGTCTGCATTCTGACAGAGTTCCTGCCAGGTATTCGATGGGTGGCACCCGCACCGCCACGACGACCTACGGGGCTTCTGCAACGTTCAGCTTCAACGGCACAGGGGTGACCCTCTTCAGTGCCAAACGACCGAATCACGGATTCTTCAACATCAGTCTGGATGGGACATTCATTAGTACCAACAATGGTTCATCTGGTGCTCTTGAGGGCATTTGGGGTCCTCTGTATTCATCCGGCCCACTCGATGACGGACTACACACTGTTGTAGTGGTAAACTCAGGCTCAGGGGCTGGGGGCTGGTTCGATTTGGATTATGTTGGTATCTCACATAACCCGCGGTATGATCTATATTTAAATTCGTCCCAAATAGATCGGGTTTAATACGAGCGTTACAACGGATACCCAGCTTGTGCAAGATACGCATCCGTCTTTTTCCTATCAGGGCTCTAACTGGTCCGACACAGTGGCGAATGCGTCGCAGTATAATGGGACTAACGGCCAGTAAGTGTCCAGCGTTGAGCATACAATGTCCATCAGCTCTGACCACCCATAGTATAACCTGTGCCAAGGGCGACTCTGTTACGTACACCTTTCAAGTCAGTGCTATGTCTCCTGCACTAATTCATGGCTCACTATCACTCTAGGGTAAGGTTGAGTATCAACGTCTACGTTGGAAGTCCGACGCACGTCTTGTAGGGGACTCCGTGCAAATTTATGGGGCTCTAGGTCCCGAGATGGGCTCATACATGGTGTCGCTCGATGGTGTCGTGTCCGCCCTGTATGATGCAGAGCAAGCGGAGTTCTATGCGAACACCATGCTTTATGCTGCAAGCGCACTGCCATCAAGTCGACACGACGTGACACTCACCAACGTAGGCGATAGTCTAAACACAAGTTGTCTGAGCATTGACTACGCAATCGCCGGCCTGGCGGAGGGGGTATCGTCTACATCCGAGTCGGCCACGGACAGCCCTGCTAACACGGAGACAGGCTCTCCTTCAGCAGCACCGGACTCCGTTACTCATACGTGCGTCTGCTGCTTGTTGAGCGTCCATTGCTGCTTATTCAGCGTCCAATGTGTGATCATTCGCCGAATGCTTGACAGTCCTTCTACACCAGCCATCGTGGGTGCCTGCGTCGGTGCTGCTATTTTCGCGGGATCGACCTTCGCGGCTCTATGGTTCTTCTTCCGTCGCCGACGAGCGTCGAGGAAAACCGCCATGGTGGCAGATAACCCCCCGGAGTTTACCTTCCGACCCACGTGGAGCTCACGTACGCCTGAAATCAGACAAACCGATCCGCCGCCGTACAGCTTCGTCGCTCCAAACCCTCATCACGGGGGCCCCATGAGCGCCGGCTTCGGGCTTCCGCCACTAGAGCACCCTGCGATTCCGGTGTTACACACTACGCGACCCGAGGACGGGTTCAGGGCTGAACACGATCCTCCCAATAACTTACAGGCCGCACATAACGAAGTACCTTCTGATACACCGACGGATCCATCGAGGTGCCACAACCGCGTCCGACCGCGATCACAGAAGTGTGAATCGATTTTAGAGGGTACTAGACAGTTGAGTACTGATGGGCTATAAGCTGCAGAAAATCCCTCAGAATCAACACAGATACTCCGTAGATTCATGCTGTAATCGCATGTAATATTATCTTAGATTGATCATAACCATTCGAAGTGCATCAGTATTCATGGCACACTGGGACTATGAGAATTCAGCCCTCCGGTGCCAGAGGATAAATGAGGCACTACATACCACAAAAGCTGAATATTCAGCACCTAGGGATGCTTTCGGCATCGTAAGAAGGCAATATTAACAAGTTGCTCAGAAGCGCACCATACTCCGAAGCCGGAAGCATATGCACACTACCCTCTTATGACTTGCCAGGACAATACAATCCTGCGCATTGCAACTGTAACACCGTATCCCTGCAGGAGGCAGCTGCAAACAATATCCGCAAAGGCAAAGAACTGCGCATTCAGTCATAATTCTACTATTTGGTAACGCATCGCATCCACCAGGGGGGGACATAAACGACAACCACAAGTCCTACTAATGCCTACAATTTAATCCAGTCTCCGCCTCTTCACACCTTCCGCGGCGATTCGATCCGCCTCCGCATTGAAGAAGATCCTGCCCTTCCGCCGACTCCTGAGGGAAATAGTGTGGCACAGGAATACATCAGAATTCCCAGACCGAAGCTAGGTGACGAAGAGACGTTGAGCGAAATGTCAGACCATCCTCCGAAAGAGAGCAGAGCACTGACCTGGATATCTTCGTCGACGAGAACAGGCTGGCTAAACCGGACGGACGGTTCGGCGTCCTGGCCGTCCAACGCTACGACCTGAGTCAACACCTGCACGAACAAAGCGCTGGGGATCGCTCACCGTCAGCACCTCTTTTCCGTCCCCTCGACGTCCCTCCACCTTCAGCCCCGCCAGCCAGCGGCGAGCCGGCCGGCACGCCCAACGTCCCCACCCGTCCCTCCAGCGCCTTAATCCTTCGATCCAGCTGCTTCTCTTCCCTCTCCAGCACGCGCGCCCGCTCCGCGAGCTCAGGCAGCTTCCTCACGATATAGCTCGCAAGCACACTCAGGGCAGCCTGGTCGGGCACCGACGCGCACGACGCGTTGGCTTGGATCTTCGGTGAGGTCTCCTTCAGTTTCGCTGCGAGATGCGCAGGACGGCGGGGCCGACTCACGGATGACGGAGAGGACGGGGGCGGAGGCGGGGAGGGGAACAGCGGAACGAGGCTGAGCCCGCTGACGCATGAGGGCAGGGATTGGTAGCAAGAGGAGGCAGTGATGGAGGGGCTGGCAACCGTCATGGCGGGGGAGGACGGGTAGGAGGAGAATGGATAACGCTAGGCAGACTTACGAGCGAATTGACGACGTCCGTTGGTTGTTAATATACGGACGGCAGTGGCTGGCAGTCAGCCGCCAGTCCCAAGACCAGTCGATGACTTCACCTTGGATCGTAGGATCCCGCCGGCCAACTGTCAGCCACCGCCGTCCAACATAAAAGCAGACCAAATTCGAAGACTCTCTTTACGCCGAACCTGCGCACGCCCCCTTCGCCAAACCTCGACCGCCTTTCGAGTTGCTATGGCCTCCCTCTCGGACTTCTCGTTCATGCCCCTCCTCGGCGGCGAGGCCACCCGCTCCCCATCGTTCAGCGACAGCACATTCCAGGCGTTCGCTCATCTAGCAGAGTATATCGACAGTTCGGTTATCGAGGAGCCATCCGAGCCTGCAACTGACGAAAGCCAGGGCGTGGCACCTCCATCGGCGGACGACACCTTCCTCAGGGACGATCGAAGGCTCTCGGTAGCCAATAGCAGCGGCGTCTCCGCAGACCTTAACGCCAGTTGCTTGAACGCTGAGATCGTCTACAAAGTGGGGGCGACGCCCGTCCCGGTCTCGTCCACAGCCAGGCTGCTATCGACCGCGCACATTGACGTCATCAACACTGCTTGCATGCTGGAGGACCAGATCAGGGATATGGAGAAGGTCTGCGCTGCTGCCGAAGGGCGATGCGCCGAGAAGCGCAAGAGGATCGAAGAGCTCGAAACCCAGCTAGCGACGCTTACTGGACGAGAGACTGAGGAGTGTTCAGATGTCGATCCTTTTGAAGACCCCAACGAAGAGTGGGAAGGGCTTACAGACGAGCACGGTGTATGTCAGGAGATGAGGGACACTTCGGGCCGCGTCAATCCGGTGAAGCGAGCTATTGGACTGGGCTTGGAGGGCGCCGTTATCTGCGAGACTCCGGACGGCAAGGCAGACGCGACTAGGGGGTCCGTCGAAAGCGAAGGGACAACCACGATCAACGGACTCGCTTCTCCCACTGTATCCTCGCTCGTGCACCAGGAGCTCAGGAACAGCTACTTGCAAGCTTCGAGGATCCGCGATGGTGTGGCATTCCCGCGCACGAGCGGCCCAACTGCGGAAGCGGAGGTCGATGAGCCGAAGTCGACTCGATCCAGTTCGTTCAGAAACATGCTAGGCGACTTTGCTAAGCGACAGAAGAGCACCGAGGGGACATGGAAGAGCAAGAAGGCACGCGGAACACTACGCAGGATGGACATCGATATATTCGGCATACCGGCTCTCGAAGACGGGCGGCGACGGGGATCCTCGATTTCGGGCAAGAACAGTATCAAGCGCTCCTTCACGCGGTCGCTCCGGAGCAAGATGACCAAATCGCTTGGGCGACAGCGGTCGAGTCCCAAGCGCATGCCTCTCATGGAGTCGTCGGCGCTCAAGGCTTTCTTGAAGAATTCCAAGGCAGAAAGTGCGGGTAGCGTCAAATCCAAAGGAACTTGGAGGAAGCGCCGGGGAAGCTTACAAGTCCAGGATAAGGAGAACGTCGCCCAGACGGCTGCAGGCAAGACTCAAAGCCAGCGACAGTATACTATTCCCGATGGCAATACCAGCGTGCTGTTCTATTAGGAGTTTCGGCGACCATTTCTTTGTCCGTCTGGTAGTGTACTTGATGTATCCCGAGGGCCAGATTTATGTTAGAATATTTGAAAGCAGTAAACCTAATACCCTGCAAATATCAGATGGCCTGATGACCCGAGAGCAGCGTACGCGAAGACGAAGGGAGAAGTTGAACGCCCAAGGTCGACGCGTCCGCCACTGGCGTCAGCCGCGGTAGCGTCACGTGGTCTCCCTTGTGGCGCGTCGCGTACTCGGGGTAGTTCCTGATCGCCACCGTTAGCTTACTTACTGGTACGCTGACGACTGAAAGGAAATTGCGTGGAAGGTCGCATATTTCTGTGGTTTGAAAATTTGAAGCTCGAAGGGAAGTAGGGATCAGACCATGCCGGGTGCATGAACCAAGCGCATATGCATGTGAATGAGTAAACTGTGGCTCGCGAACTGGCCGTATGCCACACGACCAATTTTGGCAAGTCCCAGACGTTACCAAAGAGCTTCCCCGTCCCTTGATCGTACGAAAGAAGATGCTGAAATTTTCAGAGTGACAAAGGTAGTTATCCGGGTTAAGTGAAGAAGCGCGTTTGTACTGCATTCGGCCTTCAATAGGGTCGTTCTGGATCTCCGTTAGGTGAATCGATATCGATGCGAGAAGGGGCATCAGCCCACGGGATGTTATAAGAGGCTGGATAGCGAACACCACCACCTCCGTACCACATCCCATAATCGTCCACTACTGCCCACCGTCCTCATGTCGCAATCCACACGCACCACTTTGCCCTCCTCAAACCACACGGAGGAGAAAACCAATACTATGTGCACCGGTGAGAATGCAATCAAGGAATCCGGTCGGAGCTTGCTGCCACAAAGCCGTGGTGATCCCAAAGTACGTCGTTTGCCACCTAGCAGCTTCCATCCCAGTGACCTTCCTCTAAAGACCGGGATCCCGCGTCGCCGCTATGCTGACGAGCAGGACGCGCCGAATATGGATGAAATGGCCGGATACATCATGGACAAGACATTGAAATTCGTGAGTCAGTCCCAGCAATAAACATGAACTGTAAAACTGACACTGCATGATATACGTAGAACCTCATGAAGTGGTTGAAAGAGCAACTACGCGAGGAGAAATGCAAAAGGAGAGAACAGAAGAGGGAACTAGATAGTCGACCTTCGTCCGCCGCCCCAGCAAACAAAGATAAACTACCAAGCGCCACTCCCGCAAGCCGGGAAACCGACGCAGTGCCGTTCCCGAGGAACGATGGCGGTAAATGTGCAGTAGGTGTGTAAGTTGAGACCTCGCATCGTACATTTACTAACTTGCCATAGTCACCCTCCCAAGGTCATCACACCGAGTCCGAAGGATCTCGGAGAGGATTGCGGAGGCGATAAGGATTTCGCCGGTCGAAAGAACAATGCAGAAGACGATCCGCCGGATTCCGAAAGTCGAGAACTTCAAATGAGCGAGGCGGAAGCTTAGAGGGGAGGATAAACGTACTATATAACTATTTAAACATGATTATTGATGTACATCATTTTGAGGGATGTACCGGGTAACGATGAAAACAAGCGTTATGTATGCGCCGTAACTGCTACAAGGGTTCCTTCATGTAGTGGCAAAGGACAGCGCAATTCGGGAGGCAGTCCCGATGCTAACGTGAGATCGCAACAGACAAACTTGCAGCGGCAGGATATGCTATATATAATCAGGTCGGCCTGAGAGGGGGCAACTTCCTGCAACTTCCCGAGTGCAAGGAAAGCGGTAGACGCCCGAGTCGCGAAAAGGAGGAGAAGCTACATAGGCCCTTTGGTTTCGTGGGCCCTCAGGGACCCACAGACATAAAGACCAAGCGTTCCCCTCGCGTGCATCGAACTGGTATGGATACGGTGTTGTCACATCGGCGCTGGCAGGTGGGTAGGAAGGGCGTGCTCCTTCAGCCTCGTTTGCTCCACTGAGCGTGGATCGCGATATATGAGGCCGTGGTGTCCGTTGGGGTGTTTGAACTTGGCGAGGAGACAAGAATGTTCAATCCTCACTTTCTGACTACGGTCGGAACTGCAGCATATGCTGCCGCAGCTTGTACTCTGAAGATATCTCTGTCATCCGATCCCCTGTCTCTGTCGAAGACTATCCTGCGGCAGCCTGTAACCATCGTCGCTGAAGTCTCTTGATCTGCATCCGATCCGTTGCCGTCTTCGTTCTTTCCCCAGCTGAGGCGGTAAGCTCTCATATAGTGCAGCATAACATTGAAGTGGACCGGGACTGCAAGGTTTCCGATGGGAGGCTTAGCGTCGAACACTGATTCTGTTATAGAGGGAGGTTACGACTCTGGAGCGCGCGAGAAGTCTGCTACGCTCCAAGTCGTTGGGCAGGCATTCGTCTCTCGAGGCGCTCCCGCCCCATTATACTTGCGAAGACTTCCCCGCACCAACTCCTAGAATCTGGATATTCCCAATAGGATGGAACGAGTCGATCGAACGAGGACTGAATTTCGCATATGAGGAGAAGGCTACATTTGTGCGACGCTAATCTGGCACAGACAGCGATGGCAGACGGACAGAGAGGGTCTTGAGGCTTGAACGTTTGAACAGCAGTGCAAGGGAGTAAAAGGAGGAAATTTGAGCATGGAGAAGAAACTTGCTAGTCGCGTTTGCTTCCGGGTGCGGAGAATGAATATATTCGCGCTTCTCAGTGTTCGCGCTCGTCGTGTCCCTCGACCCAAAACACGACACTGACTGCTTACTCTCCTCTGTCAACTTCTCCGGGCCAGGGGCCACCAGTGCGTCGATACACATTTTCTAGCAATGTCCCAGAGGGAGGAGGAAGGTAGGAGAAAATAACAAACCACTGAGAAAAGGCCCGGGGCGCAGATGGTTTGATAGAAGCGCGATGGGGGACAACGGCTCGCGACAATAGCGTTACAGGAGGTATTACTCGTTTTAAGGGACGTGATATCTTGATAACGATGCACGAGGATGGTGCGTATACACATACAGAACAAAGAGATCGAGCCGCCATTCAGCTCCCGCTCGCCCCCACCCCCCATCATCCATACATCGACCACCGCCGAGCAGGCTTCCACTCCCCATAAACACCCGCTGCTCAGATGTCCATGATCAGCTCATCTACCGACGCAGCCGAGAGGAGACTAATCACTCACGAGTGCTCTCCAAGAAGTTCGGCATGGCGGGCACGGTCGCCCTGTCGAGAGGCTTGGAGGGGAAAGGGATCATGTCCTTTCCCTTACCCCTGTCCTTGGGACTGGGTGTTGGCAGCATGTTTAGGTTAGTTAATGCAACCGACGTAAGCCCGCTACCAATATCCTTTCGCCTGCGGCTCCGCCCTCGGATCTCTATATCGCACGGAGGCTCCTCCCTTTCCCGCGCGGCCCCGGTCGCCTTCACTTGCTTAATTGTATCCCGCATGTGGGCATGGAACTTCCCAAATGCCACTGGATTTGTCTAGTCACGAGCGTCAGTCTCCGGAAGGTAGGTAGGTACAAAGAGTTGACTCACCGGTGGCGGTAAAGGCTTATCCTTTTGCAGCTCGTTGAGGTACCGCAGTGCCTCATCTATCTGTTTCTGCGAGCGGAGGCGCTCACGCGCGGGATCGCTATGCTTTGTTTCCGGTCTCGACGCTTCTTGAAAGGTCCCCTCGCTAGTCTGCTCCCCCTCAACAGACAAAGTAGCAGCGGCAGAGGCAGCGGCAGCCGCCTCTGCTTCCGTTTCGTTCTCCTTTAATCTCCACGCGATCCACTCCGCGACTGTAGCGAAGTGAGGCATCGGCTTGGCCGGCGGGTACTTTCTGTCCCAATAGTCCCCCAACCGTTTCGCCTCCTCGGCCGTAATCGTCAGCGCCGGGCGCTCCTACACCGCACGTGAGTTTGACAAACACCATTCACGCAGATTTACTAGTAACTCACTTCGCCCGGCTCGAGGAGGTCGTCCGGCCCCGGCGGGCGCTCCCACGTGTCCTCGGGGTCGCCTCTGCGCATCCGCCGGAGCATATCGTCTCCGGTGAGCCAGGGCACTGTGTTCCACGGGTCAGCAGGCGTGCTCTCGAGTGGACATGCGTAGGACTCACGGGTTTGGTATCGTCGTCTTCGTCGTCCGACGAGTCGTCGTCGTAGTGCCGCTGCAGGGCCGCCGCCATCCTCGGGTCGTCTGCGTTTGGGTTCGGGGGAATCGGCAGCTAGAGGAGCGCAGCATGAAATTTGGTCGAAGACGCAGGCTCAGCTAGCGTACCTCGCAGGTCCACCTTCTCGACGGGGTTTCCTCCATCTCTACACGCGCGGATCCTTGCTTTTTAACGCGCTCTTCGCGTGGTACGGCAGTCGTTGTCTATACGGGTGAGTGGCGCTGGGGGGTCGAGCGCGAGGGGGACGTTGAGTGAGAGGAAAGATGGGTGCTGGTGTGGTTTAAGTACTGCGCTGGATTCAATTTTGCTCACAGATTTCCCGAAGCTAAGCCTTTGTGGCTGTAGGCGTGCTTTTTTCGGGGCCATGAAGGACAATGCGCCTTCTTTGGCCCAATAAGGCGGAAAGGTCTCGTCGCTAACAATGATGGAGGCCTATGATATGGTGCGAAAATTAGTGAGGGTTCTCATTTGATGCGGGTAGAGCCATTGCTGAGTATCCTTTGCACCGGAAGGAACTCTGCGCACCACACCGATGTGGTACTATATAGACCCACTGAACGTGCCACACAACATAATATCTTCACGAGCACCGAAAATATTCTACACCAAGTACTTTCTCGAAGAACCATATCGTACACCGAGACACCGTTCCACCACACGACCCTCAGTCCAGATGAGCGAGGTCCGCTCGCGATGCGAGGCCCTCTACGAGCACCATGATTGTGTTAGCGAGAGTAGGTGAGAATGTTCCACGACTGCTCACCTGCTTCCCTTTCAGCGCGAGTGCTGACAGGGAACGGCACCGTGTTGGTTTTCGTGGACCCGGGACAGGCGCTCGGCAGTGAATTTTTGCTTGTGGAGGACACTAGCGAAGAATCACTACCGAGCCTCTTCTTCTTGTCCTTTCTCTTCTTTTCCTTTTTCTCTTTCTTCCTCCCCCTCTCCTCTTCAGGCGGCTCAGCGATCAGCCAGCAGCTCTGCGTGTAGCAATAGCTGTCAACACCTGATATTGATTGACTTGGTCAACACGACGTACCAAGGGGATACTCTCATCCATTATCAGATCGGCGAGCGTATCAAGCCTCAGGCCCTTACCCCAGTCTATCCAGCGGCTGGCGGGGATTCCTATCTGTGGGCTATGAGTGAGACCGACTGAAACGAGTAGTTGACATGGAAAGCGTACTTTGGTATTGCCAGGACTTTCTGGCGGGAGGTGCGTCACTGCTCCCTTTTCCGCTTTCTTGGCCGCGCCCTTGGCCTTCGAATGCGCGTCTGCGCGGCGTGTGGCTGAGGATGAGGTACGCTTTGAAGGAGACATTGTTGTTGCAGAGGCAGAGTGCAGTTGTGAGATGTAGCTGGGTGGACGTGATTGTGGTCGATGGTCAAGTTCGACTTTCGCGGACGGCCGGATGTGGTGTGCGAATTTATACAGGTTCGGCAGCCTATGAGGGAATGATGCAGTACAATGGGGCTTCTTTTCTTACTCAGGTTGCTCGCGTCCCTACCTCTACGATTCCCTTTTACGGCCCTGGATTCGTATCGATTGATGTCGATAGCAATCCAGCGACTAGGATCTTCGAATACGACAGCAAACAATGCTGAAGAACTAGGTCCATGTTTACCCGCTATTTTCGCTGAATAATGGGGTGACTATGGGCGCTGAAATCCTAGCACCGTGCCACACGCTCGTTCAATATCTGGTATCTACCTCCTTGTTCAGGATTGGTCCACTATTATCAACACGAGTATAAAGAACATAAAGACATTAAATTAAAAGAATTGTCCTACGTCGTTGGGGATGCCAAGGCCAAGTCGATGGCATTCTTAAAGAAAGGCCCCTATACGCGTGCACAGACACGAGTCAGGTGACCTACCGCGTCCCGGAGTTATCCGATCGCGTCCTCAACTTCATTCACTAAGATGCATGAAGGGATATGCTGCTCTCCGCTTCCTGAACACTGCGGGCTCGTTTGTGGCGCGTCGCGTACTCGGGGTAGTTCCTGAGTGCCACCACTCGCATACTGGTACGCTGACAGTTGAAATAAAATCGCCTGGAAGGTCGCAGATTTATCTGGTTTGGCTCGAAGGGAAGCAGGGATCCGACGATGCCGGGTGTATGAGCTACGCGTGTGTACTATACATGTGAATGAGTAAATTGCGGCTCGCGAACTGGCCGTAAGTATGCCACACAGCCAATTCTGGCGAGTCCCCAACACCAACAGAATTTACCGTTGAGCTTCTCCGTTCCTTGATCCCACCACAGAAGATGCGGAAATTTTCATAGAAGCAAAGGTAGGTATCCGGAATAAGTGAAGAGGTGCGTTTGCACTGCATTCAGCGTTCAACAGGGTCATTCTATATCTCCGTAAGGTGAATCGATACTGATGCGAGAAGGAGCATCAGCCCACGGGATGTTATAAGAGCTGGATAGCGGTCTTGAATATTCACCACCACCACCTCCGTGCCACATCCCACAATCGTCCACTGCTGCCCACCGTCCTCATGTCTCACTCCACATGCACCACATTGCCCTCCTTAAACCACACCGACGGACAAACCAATACTGAGAGCACGGGCAAAAATGCAACCAAGGAATCCGGCCGGAGGATGTTGCCACAGAGCCTTGACAACTATAAAGTACATCGTCCGCCACCTAGCAACTTCCATCCCACTGACCTTCCTCTAAGAACGGAGTCCCGCGTAGACGCTACGCCAACAAGCAGTATGCACCAAAATTAGATAAGGTGTCCGGACATGTTATGGACAAGACATCGAGATTCGTGAGTCAGTCCCAGAAATCAACATGAACCGTAGAACTGACACTGCATGATATACGTAGAAAATCACGACTTGGCTCGAGGAGCGACGGCGCAAGGAGACACACAAGAAGAAAGAGGAGGAGAGACAGAGACTGTTAGATAGTCTGCCTTCGTCGGTCTCCTCAACCGATGAAAACATCCCACCAAATGTCCCTGCTGTCGACCTTGAAACTGAGCCGTTATTATCTCCAAAGCACGAGAGCACGCCGGAATCCGAAGGTAAGTGAAAATTGAAATGCTTCATCCCTTTGCTGACCGTCCTCAGTGACTGCCCGTACACCTTCCTACCGAGTCCGTACGATCTCGGAGAGGGTTGAGGATGTGATACGGCGTTCGCCGGTGGAAAATACCAAGCGGAAGACGATACGCCGTGTTCCAAAAATGGCGAACTTCAAGTGAGGGAGGAGAAGATTTAGAAGAGAAGATTCACGTACAATGTAACTGAACAAAGAAAGGATTAAAGATGGGATATCTTTCGATTGACGCGCCACACAGCGATGAGAATACTTGAGCGTTGTCCGGGTTGATTTAGGCGCCATATACAAGGGTTCCTTCATGTCGTGGAAAGGAGCAGCGCAGCCCGGGAGGCAGTCCTGACGCTAAAGTGAGGATGCAACAGATAATCCTGGAGCCGCAGGATCTGTTAGTCAGGTCAGAGGAGACCCTTCCCGAGTACAAGGGAGGCGGCAGGCATCGCAAAAGGCAGAAGACGCTAGGTCCTTTGGTTTCGTGGGCCCTCAGGAGCCCACAAAGACAAAGACCAAGCGTTCCCCTCGCGTGCATCGAACCGGTATGGATACGGAGCTGTTACATCGGCGCGCTGAGACAAAGGGCAGGTGGGTAGAAAGGGCGTCCTCCAGCCTCCTCTGCTCCACCGAGCGTAGCCATTGATCGTGGTACAGGAGGCCGGGGTGTCCGTTGGGGCGTTTGAACTTGATTGGCGAGGAGGAAGAATTCCTCACTTTCTGACTACGATCGGAGCTGCAGCATATGCTGCCGCATCCTGTACTCTGAAGATATCTCTGTCATCCGATCCCCTGTCTCTTTCCAAGACGATCCTGCAGCAGCTTGTAACCTTCGTCGCTGAAGTCTCTTGATCTGCATCCGATCCGTTGCCGTCTAGGTTCTTTCCCTAGCTGAGGCGGTAAGCTCTCATATAGTGCAGCATAGCATTGAAGTGGACCGGGAATGCAAGGTTTCCGTTGAGAGGCTTAGCGTCGAACACTGATTCTGTTGTAGAGGGAGGTTACAAGGCTAGACATCGACGCGTCCGCCACCCGGCCCACCGGCCTCACACGGGAATATGACGTGGTCTCGTTTGTGGCGCGTCGCGTATTCGGGGTGGTTCCTGAGAGCCACCACTCGCATACTATCATTGGACCAGTAGTGAATGATTTGAACTGTTCCCTAGTTAAGTCATCTTCCTCTGATTTCACGTACCCCAAAATCGGTGTGAATGGTTCAGATACTATTCTATACCCTCTGCAAATTTCTCAGATTTTTCCAGAGGGCATAGAGGTTGTACGGCGTAAGGGGACGGGAAGTGAATAAGATGTCACACGTGTCACAAGAGGGCTGTGGCGGGGCAGCGGTCACGCTCTGTCACGCTTAGACCTCGGAGATGCAAGACAGTTTTAAATCCTGAACGATGACCACTCCTCCGTTCCACATACAAACTTGAACATGGCATCTACAGACATTTACCATTACAGAGAAAAATTGCCGAAGGTATAGGGAAGCCACAAGGTCCCCAGTGCACAAAAGGGACGGGAAGTGAATAGTTATTCACTACTGGTCCAATGATAGTACTGGTACTCTAACAGCTGAAATGAAATCGTCTGGAAATTTGAAGATTTATGTGGTTTGAAGCTCGAAGGGAAGTAGGGATCCGACCATGCCGGGTGCATGAGCTAAGCAAATGTACATGTGAATGAGTCAATTGTGGCTCGCGAACTGTCCGTCTGTCCGTGTGCCACACAATCAACTCTGGCAAGTCCCCACATCAATAGAGGTTATCAATGAACTTCTCCGTCCCTTGATCCCACCACAGAAGATGCGGAAATTTTCATGGAGACAAAGGTAGGCATCCGGGTTAAGTGAAGAAGCACGTTAGTACTGCATTCGGCCATTAATAGGGTCGTTCTGGATCTCCATAAGGTGAATCGATATCGATGCGAGAAGGGGAACCAGCCCACGGGATGTTATAAGAGGCTAGATAGCGAACACGACCACCTCCGTGCCACATCCCACAATCGTCCACTGCTACCAACTACCCTCATGTCACAGTCCACGCGCACCACATTGCCCTCCTTAGCGCTCGCAGGGGAGAAAAACAGTACTGAGTACACCAGTGAGAATGCGATCAAGGCCAGAGCTCGCTGCCACATAGCCGTGACAATCCCAAAGTACGTGGTCTACTGCCTAGCAACTTCCATTCTACTGACCTTCCTCCAAAGACCGGAGTTCCACGTAGACACTACGCCCACGAGCAGTACGCACCGAATCTGGATGAGATGACCGGATATGTTATGGACAAGACATTGAAATTTGTGAGTCAGCCCCAGAAATCAACATGGACTGTAGAGTTGACACTGCATGAGATACGTAGAACATCACCGCTTGGCTCAAAGCGAAACGACGCGAGCAGAAACGCAGGAAGAAAGAAGAGAAGAGACTGTTGGATAGCCTGCCTTCGTCGGTCTCTTCAACCAATGAAAACAGCCTACCAAACATCCATCCCGTCAACAGTAAAGCCGAACCTTTGTCGTTAGTGAAGCATGAAAGCAGTATGGGACCACAAGGTAAGTAGCAAATCAAGCCATTGCATCCCTTTGCTGACCCGTCCCAGCCACTCACCAGAAGCCTTCACGCCGGGCCCGGACAATTTCAGAGAGGGTCGCGGAGGCGATAAAGCTGTCGCCCGTCGAGAATAAAAAGACGAAGACGATTCGGAGGGTCCCGAAAGTTGAAAACTTCAAGTGAGCAAGGCGGAGGTCTAGAGGAGAGGATTCACGACGTACTATGTAACTAGACAAAGAAATGATTATTGATGTGTATCTTTCAGATGAGGTGTCGCAAAGCGACGAAATATGGGGTTCTCCGGGATTTGCGCGTCGGACTATCATAAAGGTTCCTTCATGACGCGGCAAGGAGCCCGGGTGGCAGTCTCGACCCCAACGTGTGAATGCAACAGATATTCTTCGGGCCGCAGGATCTATTATACTAATAGTCAGGTAAGAGAGACACCTTCCCGAATGCAAGGGAAGGGATAGGCGTCGCGAAAAGGAGGAGAGGCTAGGTCCTTTGGTTTCATGGGCCCTCAGGGACCCACAAAGACAAAGACCAAGCGTTCCCCTCCTGTGCATCGAACTGGTGTTGAATACGAAGCTTTACATCGGCGCGCTGAGACAGAGGGTAGGAAGGGCGTGCTCCTCCAGCCTCCTCTGCTCGACTGAGCGTAGATCGTGGTATTCGTTGGGGGCGAGGGAGAAGAACGTTCAATTCCACGAAATGCAATCCTCCCTACAAAGTTGAGGACGCAGATTATGTAAGCGAGTCGCGCAGCGGCTCGCAAAGTGGACGCGGAGCCATTGCAGCGGATGCGCCCAGACGGTTGCCCAACTAACATATTATCTTATTTTTGGATATTGCTAGCATGCCGCTAGTGCAGCGGTTAGTGTGATGGGTTGTTTCAGATGCAATGCTGTGAGCTGGAGGTTCAATCCCAACCACGGACAATGTTTTTCACTTGTGATGATTCTAGTTGTCTTCACTCCGTAACGCAACTTGAAAAATTTCTTTTGTTCTCTGTCTCATCATGCAGTCATTGCAAGGCGCCGATATTGATGACATTGTGGCACTTTGAGTCCGGACAAGGGCCAATCTATACACAAAGCCTTCACTTGGTATTATACTGTGGGGTTCAGTTTCAAAAAATTAAAACTACATGTGTACTGATATACAAAACCATTCAACTTCTCATGATCATGGGAGGTGGTGTTACCGGTGTACGAATGAA